AAGCTGAGATTAGGGACCCATCCCTAGTGGCCCACCACCCCGGAAGCCACACAGCAGTCTGAAAGGAATCAAGGGCCACGTGGGCTGCCTGGGAGCACAGGGTCTTTCTGGCCACTGCCGTTCCTCACACACACCCAGGCTGTTTGCCACTCTGGGCTTTGGCCTTACTGTTCCCAGATCCCTGTATTTCTACCACACTCATCTCCAGTGCCGCGTCCTCCTGGAGGTCTCCCCTGACCACCTAATGCAAACTAGCCCACTCCCCAACACCTACTGGGCTCTTCCCTAGATAACCCCACGCTCAAGCCCTCATCTATTCAGGCCGGTGCTTCTTTGCTCAGATGTCACCTCCTTCACAAGATGTTCCCTGGCCACCCTATGTAAAACCACACACCTCCCTGCAGCCTTCATCCTCCCTCTCTCCTTTCTTCTGTCTGATATCCTAGATATTTAATTATTTGTTTGTTTATTGTCTCCTTCCTCCTCAACTGTCAATCTCCATGAGGATAGGCAATATTGTGAAAGGCACACACTCCATCTCTGCTCCTTTATCCCTGGCCCTATGCATATTAAATATATGTTAAATGTATATTATACATATTAAATATGTTACACATATACATATTAAATGTTAAATATATATGTATGTATTAAATATATAAACATATATTTAATGTATATTTAATGTATATGAAATATATATATTATACACATATATTTAAAGATGAGCCATTTAGAGGAAAATACTAAAGAAATGAAGGTACAAGGTGGAATGCAGAAGGAAAAATCACAAAGGTTGGACTAGTATCACTAATATGCAGGAAGCAGTACTGAGGGCACCAGAGAGTCACCCAAATTCTGTAGGGTTTGTGGGGGGACAGGGCAGGGGTCGGGGGACAAATTTGGATCTTGGAAATATAACTACAGTTGAAGGGAAAGGCCCAGTGGGGGCCTGTTCTGCAGAGCCCTGAGCCAGTTCAGGTGGAACACGAGGCAGGTCTGTCCAGGGGAAGTGTGCTTCAGGACTGGCCAGGGGAAGTGGGCGGAGACGTCCTGGAGACGGAGAAGATGGGGTCTGGGAGCTGGTGCAGGGCAGTGGAGAGAGACGCAGCCTCTGCGTCCATCCTGTGAACTGTAACGGGGTCTAAGTGAGCATCTGTCACTTGGATTCGGATGTCTCTATCATCTCCCATCAGACCAGGAGCTTCTGCGAGCAATATTCCTACTTCTTCCCAACTGCCTAGAGCCTGCAGGGTGAGCCAGCTGCACAGCCCATCAGCCAGCAAGACAGGATCTCAGATGAGGGTGATCGAGTGCCCTGATTTTCCTGGGATTGAGTGGTTTCCTAAGACAGCAGACTTTCCAGGTGGTCCTGGGTAAACTGGGAGGAGCTGGTCACTCTACCTCAGACTGTCCCTACAGGGCAGGAGCCCTGGGCCAGACCTGTTGGGCTGGAGTTGCTGGGCTGGGGGACCAAAGGGAAAAGCCCACACTGTCTACATGAGTCTAGGACCAGGTAATCAGTTCATGCTCACATGAACAGCACCACCTGCCTCAGAGACAGCTCCCAACCTTCTGGAAAAGGTTCAATGATCTTAGTCCTCACCATTCTCAGGAAAATATGTTTTTTGTCTTTTTTTTTTGTTTTTTGAGACGGAGTCTCGCTTTGTTGCCAGGCTGAAGTGCAGTGGCGCAATCCTGGCTCACTGCAACCTCCAACTCCCATTTCAAACGATTCTCCTGCCTCAGCCTATCCCGAGTAGTTGGGATTACAGGCATGCGCCACCACACCCAGCTAATTTTTGTATTTTTAGTAGAGACATGGTTTCACCATGTTGGCCAGGATGGTCTCAATCTCCTGACCTTGCGATCCGCCCGCCTCGGCCTCCCAAAGTGTTGGGATTACAGGCGTGAGCCACTGCGCTAGCCCTGGGAAATATGTTTTACTTTAGTTAGTTAGAAGTCTCCTGGTCACACCTGAAAATTTGGCTTCTATTCAAGTTTGAGAATTCAAAGGCCCCCAAAATGCCACTTTTACACTTTGCACCTGTTCCTAAAGAAAAGTCTTAGGCCCTGACATTCAGCACCCTACAAGATTGATTCCACCCCATCCTTCCAATGGGAATATCCCTAGGATCCCTAACTATCTGAAGTGCTCCTCGTATTCCAGCCAACATGGACTGCTCAGTGGCCCGTTCCCATCCCTCCTCCTTCCCTCTGCCACCCTCTCTTCCCTCAGCTTTGTCTGCCTGAAGGGCTGCCTCCACACAGCTCCTGTGCTTGAATTCCACCCAAACTTAAAGGCGTGGCTCAAGCATCACTTCTTGGGGAAGCTTCTCCAGTCCCCCAGGCAGAAGATGCTCTTGACTCCTCTGACCCTCTTCCGAAGCCTGATCTCACTGGCAGTGGCTGGTCAGGGCTAACATCTGGGGCCAACTCATTTGGAACCCATGAGAGAAGCTCCTATCAGATTCATTGTTGGCCCCCACCCGCCTTCACTCTGCTGTCAGGGGTCAGCATATAGAATTAACACACACATGAACAAACCCATGATGCCCAACTAGGAGATGTCCTGACCGTTTCCTCACCTGTCACCCTGACAGAGCAAGGAGGGCCTTCACAGAAGCTCACCCATTCTTCAGTCATTCATTTACTCATTTAGCCAACGTCACTGAGCCTTCTACATGGCGACAAGGTGAACAAGATGCTGGAATTCCACGCCCTCACAGGCCAGCAGAAAGAACAATTTTGTGGCCGGGCGCAGTGGCTCAAGCCTGTAATCCCAGCACTTTGGGAGGCCGAGACGGGCGGATCACGAGGTCAGGAGATCGAGACCATCCTGGCGAACACGGTGAAACCCCGTCTCTACTAAAAAATACAAAAAACTAGCCGGGCGAGGTGGCGGGCGCCTGTAGTCCCACTACTCGGGAGGCTGAGGCAGGAGAATGGCGGGAACCCGGGAGGCGGAGCTTGCAGTGAGTTGAGATTCGGCCACTGCACTCCAGCCTGGGCGACAGAGCGAGACTCCGTCTCAAAAAAAAAAAAAAAAAAAGAAAGAAAGAACAATTTTGTAATGACCACCGCTGCAGCACAGGTTCAGAGAAGGAAGGAGAAGGTGCTCTGGGAATGTGCCATGGAAGGCCTGGCCCAACCGGGATCAGGAAGGCTTCCCAGAGCACAGGTAACAAGTGGAGACAAAGGATGAAGGAGATGTGTCCCTGCTGCCATCTCAGAAGAGAAAGCAAGGGGTTTGGGAGTGAAAGGCACACACTCCATCTCTGCTCCTTTATCCCTGGCCCTGTCATCACCTCCCTCAGTTTCTCCATCAGTACAACTGGTTAACAGGGTTGCCCTCATTGGGCTGTTGTGAAGATTTGTGGGGATAATCACTGTGATCCACGCAGCTCACAGAAGGCCGAGGATGGGCAGCCAGACCTCTGGGTCCGGCTGAGCTGGACAATAATCCTGCCTCACGATTAGCCCTGACCTGAAGGGGAGGAAGAATGGGGCACAGCTGGGCCTCCCCAGCTGCCAGGTGGGTTAGCCCAGGTCAGACTGTGGGATCCTGAAGGAGTGGCCAGGGACCTGGAGTTTGAGGGGGAAGGAAGCTGGATGTAGGCAAGATGAGGTGGCGCTCGTGGGCATGGCTGAGGATGGGCCCGGGCAGAGGAATGAGACAAAGAGCAGACAGAGCCCAGACAACATCCACTCCAGCTGCTCGCCCTCCCTCCCTCCCTGCTGTACAGAGTATTAGTGAAATGATTTCTAGCGATGGATGCAGTAGGGCTCTGATATTTACAGGCCACTAGATGTCTTCAGGGCCAGCTGGGTGTTTAAACGCCTGTGTGAACACCATCCTGTTAGGGGAAGGAACTAACCACGGACCGGAAACCCCCGAAGTGTGCAAGTAGCCACGTCATTTCTCAGCAGGAAGGAACTGGGGTGCAGCAAGCTGAGATTAGGGACCCATCCCTAGTGGCCCACCACCCCGGAAGCCACACAGCAGTCTGAAAGGAATCAAGGGCCACGTGGGCTGCCTGGGAGCACAGGGTCTTTCTGGCCACTGCCGTTCCTCACACACACCCAGGCTGTTTGCCACTCTGGGCTTTGGCCTTACTGTTCCCAGATCCCTGTATTTCTACCACACTCATCTCCAGTGCCGCGTCCTCCTGGAGGTCTCCCCTGACCACCTAATGCAAACTAGCCCACTCCCCAACACCTACTGGGCTCTTCCCTAGATAACCCCACGCTCAAGCCCTCATCTATTCAGGCCGGTGCTTCTTTGCTCAGATGTCACCTCCTTCACAAGATGTTCCCTGGCCACCCTATGTAAAACCACACACCTCCCTGCAGCCTTCATCCTCCCTCTCTCCTTTCTTCTGTCTGATATCCTAGATATTTAATTATTTGTTTGTTTATTGTCTCCTTCCTCCTCAACTGTCAATCTCCATGAGGATAGGCAATATTGTCAGTTTTGTTCACCGCTATATCACACCTAAAAAAGTGCTGGCACATAGTAGGGAGTCAATAAATGTTTGATGAGTTCATGAATAAGTGTATATGAATGTTTAAGAGCAGGGGCTCTGGCCTGAGGTCTCATCCCAGTTCTTCTACTTACTTTGTGATCTTGGACCCTCTTTTGCCTTGATTTAATTAATCAGTAAAAGGAGAATAACAATAGTACCTACCTCATAGGATTACTGGGGGATTAAATAAGATCATGCATATAAAGAGCTTAAAACAGTGCTTGGCCCCCAGGAACTACTCAGCTCCACTCTGGCTGCCATCGGGGCCTTTGCTGGCCAGCATTTCTTGCTTACTTATTTGCTCACTTGTTGATCATCTGTCTCCCTCTGTGCCAGTGTCAGCTCCAGCCTGCCTCGCTCACGACTGCGTCCCCAGTTCCTAGTAAAATTTCGGAAGAGAAAACCAGGCCTCCTCCAAAGTCAGGGAATGTGGAGCTATGGAGACCCAGCTTCAGCTGGGAGTAGAAACCTCACCGATCTGTTTCTCCAGGGCGGCTGCTTCACAGACAGTAGCCCGGGGCAGGATCCCAGGGTCGGTGAAGCTTGTCTGCAGCAGGCAGCTCATGACGAAGAAGAAGAGGATGGCAGCGATGATGGGGATGGCAAGGGTCAGCTTGCGGGCCAGGTAGGGACAGCTAGAACGAGAGATGAAGAGAGATCAGCAGACAACCCAAGGGCTCCCTGCGGCACAGGGCTATAGCACCTGGCAGGCACTGTCATTCCAGCAACCACCACCAAAATCTTGAATACAGCCTTGCTCTAAGACAGAGGCACAGCTTCTCGGTGAGTGCAGCAAGTTCCCAATAAGTACCGGGAATAGACATCACTAATTGATCCTTGTGTTACACTTTCCTCCTGAGCACATGGCAGATGTGTCCAATAGATCCCAGAATTCCTAACCTCTGCATTCAGAGAATCCCTCTATACACAGAGCTTCAGGTAGACACTAGTGAAGTGGACTGTTACCTGAGACAAACCATCCTGCAGTGTTCACTCACTCATTCATTCACTCACTCACTCAGTCCACAAATATTTACTGAGGTCTTCTCTGTGGCAGGTAACACTTTCAATAAGCAGCATGAATAATGACGATGAGTAAGACAAGAGCCCCTCCCCCTTGTGGCTTATGGTCAAGTGGGGAAAACAGACATGTAAACAGGGAATTGCCACACAGGGTGATGTGTGCTCTAGTCGGGGAGGGGAACATAGTAGCACAGTCAGGAAAGGCAACCTGAAGAAGGTAATCCTAAGCTCCAACCTGAAGAATGAGTAGAGGGCTGGGGGAACTGCATGGTCCAGCCTCTGTCACTGTGACGCAAGGGAGGCAGGTATCCCCGAGGCAGTGCTTTCATACCCCCTGACCCCGGCTGCCTCAGAGAATAGCCTGTGCCTGCTGAATGGTTGTCCCTCTGTCCCCAGGCAGGCTGCCTACTATAGCCCTCCTCAAGCTCCCTCCTCCATCTTAGGGCCAGAACATTCTAGAAGTTCTGGACACTGGTGGGAGAATGGCTTCATGATAGTGAAGCTATCGGGGCTCTCTCTCTATGGCCAATCTTCTCTGTTGGCACCTCACTGTCCACCCAGAAGCCAGAGCCATCTTTTGGAAATGTCAATCAGATAATGTCATTTCCCTGCTTCAAACCTCCCAACTGCTTCCCATTATACTTTGAATAAAATCCAAACTCCCTACCATGGCCTTCTAGGCCAGGCATGATCTGGGCCCTACTGAGGACTTCAGCCTCATTTTACAAAACTCTCCTCTTGCTCCTGCTCCTCCCATCAGAATGGCCTCACGACAGTTCCTAGAACAAGCCTGGCTCTCTCCTATCTCAGGGCCTTTGCACTTGCTGTTCCTTTTCTCAGATTCCTCTTCCCTCCTCAGAAGGACCTTCCTTAACAACTCTGCACACTGCAAACTTCAACGCTCCTTTCCTGCATAACATTTAGTATATATTTCAGCTACTTGTCTATGTGATGGCTATTTTTCTCTCACTAAAACATAAGCTCGGCCAGGTGCAGTGGCTCACGCCTATAATCCCAGCACTTTGGGAGGCTGAGGCGGGCAGATCACCTGAGGTCAGGAGTTCGAGATCAGCCTGACCAATAAGATGAAACCCCATCTCTAATAAAAATACAAAAACTAGCCGGGTGTGGTAGCATGTGCCTGTAATCCCAGCTACTCAGGAGGCTAAGACAGGAGAATCACTTGAATCCGGGAGGTGTAGGTTGCGGTGAGCCGAGATAGCACTCCAGCCTAGGCAACAAGAGCAAAACTCTGTCTCAACAACAACAACAAACAAACACAAAAAATCATAAGCTCCTCTGTGGTTGTAGACTATGTTCTCTTGTTCAGCTTTATATTTCCAGCACACTGCACAGCACCTGGCACCAAGGAAGTACCCGGTAAATAACTGCTGCCAGGGGACAGAAAAATAGCTACCATCTTTTGAAGGCTTACTATGTGCCAGACACTGCCCTAATTAATAAATTACTATTAGTAACATTCGAAGTACAGATAGTTACTATGGGTCAGGTACCAGGCTAAGCAGTTCCTGTGTACTTTCTCATCAAATCCTCACTGGGACCCTGTGAAGTTATGCTCCTCACTTTACAGATGAGGAAACTAGAGCTCAGAGAGCTTAAGTAACCTGCCCAAGGTCACATGGCTCAGGAGTGCTAAAGTGGGACCCAAGCCAGGTCTGACTTTGAGGTTCATACTATTAACCACCATCCCATAGCCAGAGTAGCACCTGATCGGGTAAGGAGATGACGGGGCCTTGGGAGGCCTGAGATCAGCCAAGCTTCCAGGAGTGGCACAGTAGGCACACACCTGTGGGCACCTGCATGCTGCTTCTGAAGTCTCCATCATCAGAGGCTCTGGCCTTCAGAGAAGCCCTTCCCCTGAGGAGCAGACTGCCAAGGCCAAGGGCTCCCAGTGGGCCACGCTCTGCTCCATACATCTCAATGGTTTCTGGGTCTGACCCTCAAACAGAACCACTGGGCCCTCAGTGTCACCCACATGGCAATGAATCCAGTTCATATGCAACCAGACTTGTGTAGGGGGACAGAGAAGACTTGAAATCTAAGACTTGTAGAGCCTGCAGGAACCACCAAGTCCTAGCCTCCTGAGTCTCCAGAGGCCCACAGCTATCCCAGGCCCACAGCTCGGTTCAAGGTCATCCAGCCAGTCAATGACAGAGCTAGGGTTTCCAGTCTCCCAGCAAATACACTGTCAATTCATTCAAATACACTGTCAATTCATTCATTCAATAAGTATTGAGCACCGACTGCATACCAGGTGCAAGTTCTAGGCACCAAGGCTGCAACAGAGGAGAATGTCCTGCTCTCTGGGCAAAGACAAGGAAGAAACTAACAAGTATAACATAATATGTCAGGTGGTGGCAAGTGCTTCAGAGAGCAATAAATGAGGGGAGAGGAGAGGTGCTGGAGGGGAGTGGTTTGCTATGCTGTGCGGATGGATGGACGGGGGAGGCCTAATGTGAGAGGGTGAGCCATGCGGCCACCTGCAGGAAGGGGATTCCAAGCACTGGCCCAGAAGGTAGGAGTGTGCACGGAGGATGACATGCCTCGAAGACGAGGACAGAAGAGAGCAGGGGGCAGCGGCCAGGGAAGATTCAGGCCTGACTTAGAATCAAAAGGGCACTCTGGCTGTTGTATGGGAGTGGGAAGTAAGGCAGAAGTTGGGATCCCTGCTGGAGGCCCGTGCAACAATCCACCAAGCCAAAGAAGCAAAGCCATTCATAGCAGGAAAGGTTTAGAGAGCACCTTACCTTTTCCCAGAGAAATGGGGAGCATCCAGTCCAGACCCAGGTGAGTTCTCGGCCCAAACCCAAACTCTTCTGCCAATCTACCGGCCCCCAATGAGACAAGCAGGGCAAACCACAACATGGTTCACAAGCTCTCCCCAAACCCAGAAGTCCTTGCTTCCTCCCTCGCTGGAGACAAAACAGTCACCAGTGAAGATACCCGGTTAACCCAGAGAAGGTCTTGCTTCTAGTTCAGAAGTTAGGCCAGATATCACACTGCAGGGTCATGTGGGTCAACCACAGCAAGTACTGCTTCCTCCTGCCTAGGCTGCAGCCCTGGGTGTGGGGACTGAGAGGGCAGCCCAGGGAATACTGGAAAAGGCACTTCCAGAACACTCACGTGGCCACCCCAGGGAAGTAGATCTGAAACTCAGTCCAGAGCTGAGCTCTGGGCCCCCCAGAACTTCTGCTTGTAATTCATCCCTAAACTTTTTATCCACACTACTCAGAAAACAAGGGCAGAGTGTGTGGTAAAAGGGTGAAAGGAGAAGCTAATTTATAGGAAGTCTTCACCTTGCTTCAAGGGGAAACCCAAGGTTGCAGATACATGATCTGGCAGCTAGAAAGGGTACCTGGGGGAGGGTGTCTCTACGATAGCCTTACTGTGGCCACATGCCCTTGGGAAGTGCTTTTTTGATAAAGACAACACAAGTACTAATAGCAGCCAACACTGTGTGCTTGTTACTGGGCTAAAAGCTTGCATGTGACCTCATGCCACCCTCAGGACAACCTTACAAGGTGGGTACTATTATAAATCCCATTTTACTGATGAGGAAACTGGGGCACTGAGGGGGTGAAGTGACTGCCCTGAGGTCACACAATTAGTGGGTGGTGGAGCTGGGATTTGAACCAGGTCTGTTAGAGTTCTTAACTACATTATATAATTAAGAAGGATGACCACAAAGGATGGGGAGTCGGGAGGGGACAGCAGGGCTCATGAAGCAAGGGTGGGTGGGTGGGCTTGTGGGTGTGTGTGCAAGGAATCATGGTGCAGGTGGCTCACAGGTGGGTGGAAAACTTCTAATACAAATATATGACCCTCCATCCATAAAATGGAGATTATGTGTGGGTCAATCCTGGGTCACTGGGGAATATGAAGAGGTCAAAAACCTAGGGGGGCAAATATGACCTGTCACCCGAAAGCACTCCGAACTCTTTCCTGAAAAACAACAAGGCACTGCAGCTGTTGCTGATGTGGAACACGCCAGAGGGACGCTCCAGAATGTTGAGCAGGGAAAGAAAACCAGGTGGTCAGGAGGCGGGCCAGGGGCCTGGGAGCCAGCTGGGTGGAGGCAGGTGGGAACTGAGGGAAGGACAGGAAGCTCTGGAGAAACTAAGGAAGGTTCTGGAGAAGGAAAGGGGGCCCGACAGGCCCAAAGATTTTGAGAAAAGATGGCTTGGGGCCTGGGGTGTGCGTGGCTGAGGGGAAGCAAAAGCGGGGTTGGTGTCTGAGACTAGAGAAAAGGTGGGGACCCTGGAGGGGCCCGGAGAGGGCAGCGAGGATGACTGGGATGTTTACGGCGGGTGTGCAGTCAAAGGACACACAAGATCTCGAAGTGGTCAGGAAGGGATACAAGGGTCAGAAAGAACTTGGGTTGGCAAGAGATGGTCCAGGAATGGGTGAGCAGGAGAGGCCTGTCCAAGGAGCCCTGGGGCAGATTCTGAGAGGGCAGCGAGGATGGGGGCCGTGGAGGGGCATGGAGGGTGGTGCTCCTGGCAGTGGCAGGCAGACAGGTGCCAGGGTGGGGCCAGGGAGAATGGAGCGGCTGGGAGGGTGGAGAGCACCAGCGCGGATGGGGCACCCAAATGGACCAGGGAGGATGGGGCATCTGGCAGGGATGGGGGTGCGCAGGGGCCAGGGGAGCAGACAAGAGGCCCGAGGAGGATCCCAAAGGGGCGGGGAGGATGAGGGCCAGGGACGCGCAGGGGAGGGCACGGAGTGCCCAGCAGGGATTGGGAAGGTCGGGTGCGCGGCAGGGTGCTGGGAGGGGGCGCAGCGGCAGCGGAACTCACTCGAAGACGAAGAAGAGGCCGGTAGTGGTGAGGATGAGCAGCAGCGTGAGCGCGAAGACGCCGCCGTGGCCGGCCAGCATGAGGCGGCCGCCGCAGTAGAAGCGATTGCGGCCCGGGAACACCTCCCACTTGCGCCGTGGACGCCGGCCGAGGCTCCCGCTCCCGCTCCCACTGCCGCTGCCGCTGCTGCTCCAGCGAGGCGGGGCGGGGGTGGCAGGCGGCGCGGGCCCAGGGCCCGGGGTTGGGGGCGCGGCGGGGCCGGGGCGGCGCGCCCCCGGGGAGGCGGGCAGCGGGGCGGCCCCGGGGCTGATCTGCTGGTACTCGCAGTCCTTCATGCGGCCGGCCGCGGGCCTCGGCTCCGCGCCCAGCGGGCCGGCCGGGCCGCTCCGGGACCGGGCCGAGCAGCGGAGGTGGCAGCGGCGGCGCGCGCGGCGCTCGCTCGCTCACTCACTGGGGCGGCCCAGCCGCCGCTCCGCCCCCGGCCCGCCGCCACCGCCCGCCGTGGCCTCCCGCCGCAGCGCCCCCTCCGCCTGGGCCCGGGATGGCGCTCGGCAGGAGGACCAGCCCTGACCCGCGGCGGGACCTCGCAGGTCTGCGGCGCTCCCAGTCTCCCTTTTCCCTTCTGCACAAAGAGGAGGCCAGCAGACGCGCACTCGAGGGCTCTTTCTGTTCTCCGAGCAAGCCGTTTGTTGGGCGTCCACTGTGTACCAGGCACTGTGCCAAGTGCTGAGATTCAGGTGGTGGACTTCGTGATCTCCTGGCAGTCTGTGATTCCTCAGGCTTCGCCCATCTCTGAGGGCCGAACTAACAGGCATTTGCAGAGGCAGGCAGGCGCGGGGAGGTGGGGTACACGATTTGCTTTGAAAGCCAGGACCTCTTCTACCTTGAAGTCCAGAGTGCCCACTGTGGGTGTGTGGCACACCCTCTGGCCTCGTTCACCAAGTTCTGTGTCCTGGGCCCAGGCCCAGAGTTTCCTAGGTAGCACATAATGTAGGGGTCATGCCTGAGAGCCCCAGTGTTTTTTCAGGAATTCTGGGTGTATTCATTTTCTACTGTTGTGTAACAAGTTACCACAAATATAAGGCTTAAAACAAACATTATTGGCCAGGCGCAGTGGCTCACGCCTGTGATCTCAGCACTTTGGGAGGCCGAGGTGGGCGGATCACGAGGTCAAGAGAGACCATCCTGGCTACATGGTGAAACCCTGTCTCTACTAAAAATAAAAAAATTAGCTGGGCATGGTGGCCCTGCGCCTGTAGTCCCAGCTACTCGGGAGGCTGAGGCAGGAGAATTGCTTGAACCTGGGAGGTGGAGGTTGCAGTGAGCCGAGATCGTGCCATTGCACTCCAGCCTGCTGATAGAGTGAGACTCCGTCTAAAAAAAAACCAAAAAACCAAACATTATCTAACAGGTTCCAAGTCAGGAGCCCAGGAACAGCTTAGCTGGGTCTTCTGCTTAGTCTCACAAGGCTGCAATCAGGCTGCATTCTCATCTGGAAACTCAGCTGGGGAAGAATCCACTTGCAAGCCCATTTGGGTCACTGGCAGAATTAATTTCCTTGCAACTGTATAATTGAGGAGGGCCTGGGACTTTTGCTGGGTGTCCGCTGGAGGCCTTCTTCAGGATCCAAAAGCCACCTGCAGTTCCTAGAGATTATCACATTTCCTTGCCATGCAGGTTTCTCCTACATAGCCACTTAATTTCTTGAAACTGACAATGAGGATCTCTAGCTCCAGACTGTGAAGATAGAGTTTTATATAACTTACTATATATGTGACAGAGTGACATCCCATCATCATTGCCGTCTCCCATGAAGGCAAGGCACAGGAGCCATCTGCACTCAAGAAAAGGGAATCACACAAGATGTAAATACCAGGAGGCAGGAATCACCAGGGGTTAGCTTAGGGTGTGTCTGTCACACTGGGGTTACTGTAAAACCTAAGGAAAAGTGTAAGGAAAAAGAGAACTGGAGACTAGGAGAAAGTAAAAAAGGAAGTAAAATTATACAATGGGGAGGAGCAGGAAGCCAACAACAGTGACCTTAAGGATCAATAATTGATATATGTGCCAAAGGCTGCTGAGCTGTGCCTTTGGTGCCACAGGCTCTCAATTTGATGAGCCCCACCTTGAGCGAACCACATGGTGAGCTTCCTCCCTTTTTGCTCCTTGGCTGTGGAACAAAGTCACAAAACTAGACATACTGGTTCCAGTACAGATTCCTGTGGTCCCACCTTAACTGGGTCCTCTTGCAACCTGAAACCTTTTCTTTTTTCCTCGTCACTTTATAGAAACCAAAGCAATTCTACTTGATTTTCAGTTTACCTCCTCCTATCTCATAATTTCTCTTTATTTGCATCTATCCTTTCTTTATCCCTTCTTCTTATCTTAGAAGATGTGGGCCTCCTTCTGCCCATGGCCAACCCTCCACTCATATCCTTTTTTAATTTAATTTTTTATTTTTTTGAGATGGAGTTTCGCTCTTGTCACCCAGGCTGGAGTGCAATGGCATGATCTCTGCTCACTACAACCTCTGCCTCCTGGGTTCAAGTGATTCTTCTGCCTCAGCTCCCAAGTAGCTGGGATTATAGGCATGTGCCACCACGCCCAGCTAATTTTTGTATTTTTAGTAGAGACGGGGTTTCACCATGTTGGCCAGGCTGGTCTCAAACTCCTGACCTCAGGTGATCTGCCCATCTCTGCCTCCCAAAGTGTTGGGATTACAGGTGTGAGCCACCGCTCCTGGCCTCCTTTTTTTTTTTTTTTTTTTTAAGTAAGGCTGATGGAACTCCATTTTATTTATTTATTTAAGCCCAATAGAACTCCAAACTCATGTCCTATCTCTCTTCCTGTTCACTGATACTGCAAACACATGCTCAATTCTGTATCAATTAAAAAGCAAGGCTGGGCACAGTGCTCACATCTATAATGTCAGCATTTTGGGAGGCCAAGGTGGGAGGATTGCTTGAACCCAGGAGTTCAAGACTAGCCTCAGCAACATTACGAGATGCCATCTCTACAAAAATAATTAAAAATTAGCTGGATGTGGTGGCAGGCACCTGTAGTTCCGGCTACTTGGAAGGCTGAGGTGGGAGGTTTGCCTGAGTCCAGGAAGTCAAGGCTGCAGTGAGCCGTGATTATGCCACTGCACTCCAGCCTGGTGACAGAGAGAGACCCTGTCTCAAAAAAAAAAAAAAAAAAAAAAAAAAAGGCTGGACATGGTGGCTCACATCCCAGCACTTTGGGAGGCCGAGGCGGGTGGATCACGAGGTCAGAAGTTCAAGACCAGCCTGGCCAACATGGTGAAACCTCATCTCTACTAAAAAAATACAAAAAAATTAGCTGGGCGTGGTGGCATGCGCCTCTAATTCCAGCTACTCGGGAGGCTGAGGCAGGAGAATTGCTTGAACCTGGGAGGCGGAGATTGCAGTGAGCCGAGATCACACCATTGCACTCCAGCCTGGGCGACACAGCAAGACTTCGTCTTGAGAATAAAAGAAAAGAAAACCCTAAAAAACCCAATGGAGCTTCCCATAGTTGGCTACATTCTCACCTTAGTTCAGGTTTATCTTTCTTTTTTTTTTTTTTTTTTTTTTTGAGGCGGAGTCTTGCTCTGCCGCCCAGGTTGGAGTGCAGTGGCCGGATCTCAGCTCACTGCAAGCTCCGCCTCCTGGGTTCACGCCATTCTCCGGCCTCAGCCTCCCGAGTAGCTGGGACTACAGGCGCCCGCCACCTCGCCCGGCTAGTTTTTTTGTATTTTTAGTAGAGACGGGGTTTCACCGTGTTAGCCAGGATGGTCTCGATCTCCTGACCTCGTGATCCGCCCGTCTCGGCCTCCCAAAGTGCTGGGATTACAGGCTTGAGCCACCGCGCCCGGCCTATCTTTCTTATTATCATTAGGATCATATTAAAGAGTTGCTACCAGGCTGGGCATGGTGGCACATGCCTGCCATCCCAGCACTTTGGGAAGCTGAGGCAGGCAGATGGCTTGAGATCAGGAGTTCGAGATCAGCCTGGGCATCATGGCAAAACCCCTTATACCCTATGATTTCCTAACTTTTTACAATTTGGTCCCTGTTTACATCACTCCCCTAAAACTTATCTTCAATGTCACCAATGAGCCATTTAATGTAGTATAAACTTCTTGTTCTCACCAATACCTATAGTTCCCAGCTTCTTTAACAGACGGATGTGGTCATGCGAATGAATTCTAGCTAGTGAAAGTGACAGGTACTACTCCCAGGATGGCCCATAAAACTCCCAGGTGCTGATTCTTGCTCTCCTTCCTATCTGCTAGCAGAGTAGAGGAGATTCTGAGACCCTAGAAGAGGGTGGAGCCACAAGATGGAAGGAATTTGGGTCCCTGCATAATTGTGCAGAGCAGAACTTTCCTCTACTATGACTAACATATTAAACACTGAGGAGAGCAAGAAATACAGTTTTGTTGTATAAGCCAATGAATTTGAGAGGTTGTTTTTTTTTTTTTTTTTTTTTTGAGACGGAGTCTTGCTCTGTAGCCCGGGCTGGAGTGCAGTGGCCGGATCTCAGCTCACTGCAAGCTCCGCCTCCCGGGTTCACGCCATTCTCCTGCCTCAGCCTCCGGAGTAGCTGGGACTACAGGCGCCCGCCACCTCGCCCGGCTAGTTTTTTGTATTTTTAGTAGAGACGGGGTTTCACGGTGTTAGCCAGGATGGTCTCGATCTCCTGACCTCGTGATCCGCCCGTCTCGGCCTCCCAAAGTGCTGGGATTACAGGCTTGAGCCACCGCGCCCGGCCGAGAGGTTGTTTACTAAGCAATTAACTGATCCTTATTAATACAGAAAGTTGTATCAGGAGTGGGATGTTGATATAATAAAAACACACATATGTGGCACTGAATTAATGGCCAGGCAGTAGATTACTGCCTGATCTTTAATTCAGTGCCATATATTGGATTAAGTAAAGCAGGCTGGATGGCTGGAGATCTCTATTATGCTGTAGCAAAATATTTGGTGAAATTGTCATCTTCAATAATGTGGAAGGTAGATGCTATGCCCACTCACCCTGCAACTATAAGGGAAGAGTTGGAAAAAGTCAGAGTAGGATATGGTTGGCCACTATTGGGGTCTGAATCAGTCAGACTCTAGTCAGGAGACAGAAACCATCCCAGTTGTTTGAACAGAAATAATTTACTATAAAGAAGTGGCCAGGCGCAGTGGCTCACACCTGTAATCCCAACACTTTGGGAGGCTAAGGCGGAAGGATCACAAGTTCAGGAGTTCAAGACCAGCCTGGCCAACGTAGTGAAACCCCATCTCTACTAAAAATACAAAAAGTAGCCGGGCATGGTGGCACACACCTGTAGTCCCAGCTACTCGGGAGGCTGAGGCAGGAGAACTGCTTGAACCCTGGAGGTGGAGGTTGTGGTGAGCCGAGATCGCGCCACTG